TCTAGGCCAGGGGTGGGCAAACTTTTTGACTCGAGGGCCACAATGGGTTCTTAAACTGGACCGGAGGGCCGGAACAAAAGCATGGATGGAGTGTTTGTGTGAACTAATATAAATTCAAAGTAAACATTATTACATAAAAGGGTACGGTCTTTTTTTTTTTAGTTTTATTCATTTCAAACGGGCGGATCTGGCCCGCGGGCCGTAGTTTGCCCACGGCTGGGTTAGACCCTCCCTGACCGTTCACATTGCTGGCCATGGGGTTAGACCCCTGACCTTTCCTCCTGGGCGTGTTGCTAGTCCTGCGGGTGAGACCCCTCAGGGCGGAACAAACAAGGGAGTGGACAGTAGCCCTTAAGCATCCAGCCCAGGACACGAGGTTCTGACCCGAATCCAATCCCTCCGGACTCAGTTGTGCCTCAGCTCCAGGCCCCGAAAAGCAGCAAAACCAGACGAGGGACGGCTGACCTCAGGACCGGCTGCCCTGACTAGTGACCCTGCCCTGGCGCTGACCAATCAGTGGAGACCCCGCCCTGGAAGACAGACCTGGAAGCTGCTGAATGCCCTCCCTGAGGCCTCCAGGGAGCTGCTCTCCAGATGGGGACCCCGAGCGCCTCCCTATGGGGCGAGCCTGCCCCCCAATAACAAACAACTTTTCCAAAAACGTGCTAAACTTGTAAAAACATTTCCATGCACTTCTCCTTTTTTTGTCAAAATGTGGAGCTGCAGATTCAGACGGTTCGACTGAAGGACCACGTCCACCATGTAACCCGGTCAGTCCTCCCTGTCTAGTCAGTTCGGTGAGATTTTTCATAAGAAAAACCCTAACTTCATTGTTCAGTTCAAATCAACCCGGTGGCTCGTGTGTCCTGTGACGTGAGCTCCTGTCTGCGCTCTGACTCCATCGCGTTCTGAAGCAGGTGGGCGCCGACGGAGCCTGTGCGGGGTCTGTCTTGTTTGTTTTCTGTTACTCTTCGCCCAAGGATACTTTTCCATTTATTTTTAGAGAGAGTGGAAGAGAGAGGGAACGACCGAGAGAAACATCGATGCGAGAGAAACACACCGATTGGTTGCCTCCTGCAGGCGCCCCGACCAGGACCCAAGCTGGGGAGCGGCCTGCAACCGAGGGACGTGCCCTTGACCGGAATCGAACCCAGGACCCTTTGGTCCGCTCTATCCACTGAGCAGCACTGGCCAGGGCCGCATGGGTCTGTCTTCTGATGCTGCATAAGAACACTGTTCCCCACTGACACTCTCTTTCCTCGGCTCCCGGGGGACGGTTCTCCATTCTAAGTCCAAATAAGGAGTTTTCTTGCACTTTCTGTAAAAGAAGGAATTTTCTGCAGTCATACAACTCCCAGAATACCCTGCACCCAGGGGTGCCTACAGGGGTGTGTCCAACGGTGCAAAACGGCTGAACAACGTTGCACAATCCGGAGACTGTGGCCGGCTTGGCTTTCTTTCAGTTTCCTGCTTCCTGGCACGGAGGCTGCTTCTGAGAAACGGTGTTTCAAGGAGGCCGAGGGGGTTCTGTTCCGAGTGTTTTCCGTCTCCTGCGAGAGAAAAGTGAGTACCGGCCTTCACACGTCAAACAGAGCTGGGTAGATGTGGGTGCAAAAAAAAAAAAAGGCATAATACACGTGATACACCAACTGCTGATGGTAGGCGGCTCCTTCCAGACTGTGAAACGTTGCTATGTGCTTGGTTTAATGTGAATTACAACTGCAATCCGTGTATAACATTGTGGCTCCCTGGATGATATTGCCCTGAAAGATGTTGAGCCGGTTTACTGTCCGTGTGGAGGAAGCGATGAAGTGAATATGGTGACAGGAGATGTGGACAGGGTGAGGCCCGGGAGGCGCCTGGGAAGGGCCGAGGTTGAGGCACTGGTGTGTGTGAGGCGGGCGTCTCTGACCAGGGCGGGTGGGAGTCCTGAGCTTCGCTGGCCCTGGGTCACAGAGCTTAACTGATTATACAGTCAGTTGGGTTTCCTGATGATAGACGTGCGACGTGTTTGATAGATAAGTACATGTCTTATCAGATTTCACTAGGCTGTGCTGCTCCGTATTTCCTACGAATTGCCATGAAATGGGAGGTGCAGAGGCCGCCAGCACTTGTGAAAAGAGTCATAGAGCAGGCGAGTTGTCCCAGGTGACCCCCCGCTCCTTCTTGCCGGTCAGATGGGCTCTCTGACCTCAAGGAGCACCGGGGGTCAGAGTCATAACTATCACGCTACGTGCCAACGGACGTCAAAAATGCTCGTGTTGGTCATTGCCTTTCGGGAACCCATCCTAGGGAGGGAATAGTGGTGAATATGGAGAAAATTCACAAAGAGTTTCATTACCAAGGTATGTGTGATAAGAAAGAACTGCAGGCACCCTAACCAAGAAGAAAGGCTAAGCCAGGGGTGGGCAACCTTTGTGTGAGTGCGTGCCAAAACCAGCAAAATCTCTGACTCAGAATTCTTCTGCGTGCCAACCCTAATTTTTTGAGAACATGTTACGCCTACTTGATATCTCTTAAGGTGTACGTATGTGAAGAACCTTGAAGAAATAATAAAATTCATTCGAGCGACAAAAACACAGTATATGATGATGAAAAATACATTT